TCTTTAAATTTCCTTAACTTCTTCAACCTTTCTTAACCTCCTTGAACATCCCTTAAACTTCTTAAATCCTTCTTAACGTTTCTTAATCTCCCTTAACCTTATTTAACATTTTGAAACATTCCGAAACATTCTGAAACCTTGTTCAGCTTTCCTAAACCTTCAATCTTACATAACCTTCCTTATCCTTACTTACGATACAGGAGACATAGACCCCCCTCCCCCTCCCCCTCCCCTCTCTTCCCCCCTTTCCCCTTCATCCCTCCTCTCTCGTTTTCCTACCTTTCCATTATCTGTTCTTACTCCCATTTTCTTCCTTTTTTTCTCATTCCCTCTCCCTCTCCATCCCTTCTCTCTCTTCCTTTTTCTCTTCTCCTCTCTCTCTCTCCTGCTTTAACGACATCTGCGGTTACGGATATATCTCGGGTCGTATATATCATGACCCGTTGTCAGGGAACATGGGTCTTCCGTCGCATACTGCACGCACAGCTTACGGTTCCGTTTCTCCACGAAAACTATAAGGGAAAATAGAGGTGAGGAAAATGTAGTACTAAGTAGAGTAATGTTGATAACGATAAGAAAATGGTAGGTGAATGGATGGATGGGTGGGTGGACGGATAGATAGATAGATGGATAGATTGATTGCCAGATAAATAAATAGATAGATATAGAAGGAGAGAAAGAGACAGACAGACAAGACAGAGTAAGAAAAAGAGATTCTCTTCTGAATTTAAAAGGGTAATCAACCGCTAATAAAACTCCGGAAATGCAGAAGGCCTTGGGTTTTAAAAAGTTGAAAATCATTGTTGCAATTGAACTTTTGTTAGCCCCGTTACCCTTAACCCCCTGAAAACTCTTACCCGTATTGATTCGTGCATTCGAACGAGTAACGTCACTTGCGTATCCGTATTTTGTATTGCTCAGAGAATGCGATTTGTTATAACGTCATGAATGTCTCCCTAAGAAATAAACATGCAGTTACATATAAAAAAAAATATGGTAAATATAAAAGGACAATATGACGGAGAAAAGTTTAAGAAAATTCACTCCAAAACAAAAAATACGGAGAGATAGCGCGTGTTTACGTGGGTGAATAATTTACAGCGCCGGGAGATTTGTAACCGAATATCGACAGCGCAATACGTGGAAATAAGCTTGTGTAATAGGTCTGTGTATATCGTGTGTGTGTGTGTGGGGGGGGGGGGGTTGTATGTGTGTGTATGTGGGGGGGGTGTATGCGTGTGTAGGGAAGGGGGGGGGGGGTTGTGTGTGTGGGGGGGGGGGGGTGTGTGTGGTGGGGGGGGGGGGGTGTATGCGTGTGTAGGGAAGGGGGGGGGGGGGGTTGTGTGTGTGTGGATGGGAGGGTTGCATGCGTGTGTGTGTGTGTGGGGGGGTTGTATGCGAGTGTGAGTGTGTGAGTGTGTGTGTGTGTACGTGTGTGCGTGTGTGTGCGCGTGTGTGTATGCGTGTGTGTATGCGTGCGTGTGCGCGTGTGTGTGCGCGTGTGTGTGTGCGTGTGTGTGTGTTACGTAACCACGCTAGTGTGTAAGGGATTCCTCATCCCTATACATTCGCGCTCTCTTTCCGTGAAATTTAATAATAGTGTATGTACAATCTTAAAGTTCAGTTATATGTTGTGTGAACACGAAACGTACTCCTTGAGTAGGTTGGGTGATGGTAAGGGACGAAGGGGGGAGGGGGGAGTAAGATCTTCTCTGTCGCTCTCTTTTTTTCTCCCTTCTCTTTTTTCTCCTCTTTTCCTCCTTTCATAGATTTTCCGTTCCTTTTCCTTTCTTTGTTGCTTTTCCCTCCCTCTCCTTTTAGCTCTTCCCCTATCCCGTCCCTTTGATTCCCCTTCTCCCTTCTCTCCCTCTCGCCCCCCCCCTCCCCCCTCTCTTTCTCTCCTTTCCACTCCTCTTTTTCTCTTTTCTCTTTTTCTTCCACTTCCTCTCCCCCTTCCCCCTCCCTTTCCTTTTCTCTTTCCTCTTTCTCTTTCCAACGATCTCTTTTTCTCTCCTCCCTCCCCCTTCCCTTCCCTCTCCTTATCTCCCTCTCCTCCTCTTCCCTTTCCCCCCCTCTCCTCCTTTCTCTCCTCACCCCTTTCCCTTTCCCTATCCTCTCTTTCATCTCCCTCTTCCTATCCCCCTCCTTCTCTCTTCCCTTCTACTACTTCTCTCTCTTTCTCCTTCGCCCCCCCCCCTCCTCCACTCTTCTCCTTCCCATCCTTCTCCATCTCTTTGTCCTCTCCTCTTTCCCCTCCCCCTTCTTCTCTACTTCCTCTCCATCTTCCCTTCTCTCATTCTCTCTTTTCATCGCCCCTTTCCCTTCCCTTTACTTTCTCGCTCCCCCCCTTTTATGAAGTTATCCTGCCCTCTATCGATCCTTCATGAAAGTAGCCTCTTTAGGACTATTATTCTTACTACTCCTGGACTAGGCCTATATCTTCTTCTATTTGCCCACGTGACCATGACCACTCCCTGTGTTCTCATGAATATTCCCCACAACTGTTTTTTCGTCATTGTCACTACTAGCCTAACTCCCTGATTTTAATGGCTATCACCCTGGCCTGTGACTATCCCCATTGCCTGTGTTTACATGGATTTATCCCTGTCCTGCCTTGTGTTTGCTCCCTACTACCTGTGTCCTCGTGTTCTGTGATTATTCCACTACCTGTTCTGCTTTCCTACTACCTCATGCTGTTATATGGTTAGCCCCATTACCTGTGTCCTCAAAACTATCGCCCCCCCACCCTGTCTCGAGACTATCTTCACTTCCTGTTCTACTTCTTTACTATCCCAGTCTGTCCTGCGATTATCCCCACTACCTGTGTTCTCAAAACTTTCAATCCATCAAACTAATGACTATCCCCCACTACCTGTTTTCTCATAACTAGCACCCCATTCTGAGAAGCAGATGGGAAAGAAGGAGGGAGGAAGAGAGGGTGATAGATAGATATATAGATAGATAGAAAGAAAGAATAAGAAAGACAACACCGAGAACAAAACACACACACAAACAAACACTACCCCACCAACACACACATGCTCCCCTTCCATAAATATCCCCACTACCTGTGTTATTATAACTATCGCCCCATCCCCACCTTATGTTATGACTATCCCTACTACCTCCCCCCCCATGACTATCATCCCTGTTCTGTCCTGTCATTATCCCCACTACCCGTGTTCCCACATCACCCTGCCCTATAACTAACCCCACTACCTGTTCTATACTTGCCCCCACCCTGTCCTGCCTGTCATCCGGGTATTGATCCTGCTGAGCGGACTCGGGCATCACAAGATTAATTACATAAATAAGGCTTTGGGTACGAGCCTTTTTATAGTAGAGGTTTAGAGAGTTTTAGTAATATTAGTAATTTGAAAAGGAAAATCTGTCTCGTTTATTTGAGTTTATTAAGATTATTTACGAAGGTCAATCAGTGTGATTTATATATGGCTTTTGTACCGAACGTTTTTTTTGTGTAATGAAAATGTTTATATATTTATATATATTTTTTTCTTTTGGGGGGTGGGGGGAGGTAGCTACTGTGAACCCCCAAAAATCTGAATCAAGGCAAAAACAACTAATCAAAAATTACTCTAAAATAAAATCAGGTAGTAATAAAGATTACTAATAATGGATAATAAAATAGTACTGATATGGGTCGTGATATGAAAATTATGATTACCTTTCCTGTTAATCATCATATAAATCTAGTCCAGCTCCTAATTGATAAAAATAGATAACTGTCAGGACACGTAACTTCAGTCTCCCTGAAGAATGGGGCTCCGTTGCTCGCTGAAGCCGCCTGCAACGCATTCATCAAAAAAAATGTAGATTAAGAGAAACTCATTCATCAAAAAAATGTAGATTAAGAGAAACATAAACATACCTCGACCAAGTGTGGGCACCGACTGTTTACTTTGCGGGAAACAAGGTTACATACATGCCGTGACGTCACGGTCGTACATCTTTACAATCCCCAAAAAGACGTAAAATGCAACAATTTTTCATAAAATAACAATAAAAATACTTGTTCTCTTAAAAATAGAAATGGGTTAAAATATATAGTCGAACGAATGATATAACGAATGGAAAGTAAAACAAAATAAAACCAAAGAAAACCAAACCCAAACAGGTATAACTAAAAGAAACCTAAAACTCCCTAAAACCGCGAATGAAAATTAAAATACGTAAAAGTGTATCAAAGGTGCGGGGGGAAAACGACAACCTTACACTACCTTTTTTGTGTTCTATTCATCTTTTTTGTTTTAAATTACGATTAATTTGCTAATATTAATCATATACACATACGTTTCATATACTAGTGTTTATGCATTTCTACATACTTCTCTAAAAAGGAAATCATTAATTAAAATTATGAATTCTTTACAAAGAGCTAAATAGTATATCTTATAAAATTCGACAAATCATTAAAAGCATATCACTCTTCACTAAGTTATATTCCATTTCTACGATTGCTAATCTATTCATACCATATCCCATTGTTTAAAAAGGTTCACAATACTACAGTTGCATTAGAGTCGAAATTCCACCTTTTTTCCCTATCAAAATAAAATAAAACGAGCCATGTCTTACTTATTCTATTTTAATCATCTTAAAGCTCACCTGATTTTAATAACTTTCCTTCATTTACTTACGAACCTCATTTACTTATTCTATTTTTCATTACTCATCTTGATTCAAATCACTGACTACCTTACTCCATTTACTCACGAGCTTGTTTTAAGCATTTTACTTAAATCACTTTCATTAAATACTTAACATCTCCATTTTTCTCCTTTCCCAAACAAAGGGACGTAAAGGGAACTTCTTACCACTATCATTATTAAATCACAAACAAAGAATAAAATCGATCCTCACTTCATTTTGAATTCACTTGCTGCCTTCCATTCTTTACTCGTTACTTTATTTTACTCACCTTACTCTAATCCCTTCCATTAAATAGAATATATCGAAATGAAATTAATAAATAAACCTCA